ATAATGGTCACCGATACACAACTTAGACTCATAATTACAGTTAGATCACCAAACGCTAGCACCTCGGTCCAGGAAGGAGAGCAAGTACATCAGCGACAAAATCGGCATCAGCCTCAAATCGATCTTTTGCCATAGCTTTCGCTCTTCCTCGGCCGTAAGCGTGGGGGGTGGAGGAAGGGACGACTCTCCGCCGAAATCGAGATGCTCCGAACCAGGAGTGGACTGGGTCGCCAACTGCGAATCCGAGGCTTTCTCGAGTGATGCCTTTGCTTCCACACTCTCTCCAGCAGACATGGTGGTTTGAGAAGGAACGGTGGAGACGGCCAAGAACTAAAGTCAGCTGGCATTTCAAGCCGAAAGGACCCTCGAAAACGCCGGAGTATCCGGCGGCTGACATTCTCTACCCGGAGTACGGGCATGGGAAGACGTTCCAAGAATACCAATAGATACGGAGACCCGTAACTCCAGGCTATGAGAGAGGAAGAAGAACTAAGAGGATCACGAGTTGCGGTGCGAAAGACACGCCTGCCATTTCAGAACATTAGATTCCTGTTCAACGCGAACCCAAGTTGAAGGTGGCAGGGATTTAGCAGATTATCTGCAGATAGCGGTCTTCTCTTCTAACGCTCGGACCCCGTTAAAGTCAGTTCTAACCCCAAGCATAGTCATCTAACCTGTGTCGATGTCAGTCAAAAGTGTGCCCAATGGTTAGCCGGAGTCGGAGCCAACGGCCGTGGAACTTGAAGTCCGGAAGCAAGAGCCGAGCTGGCACGTGTGGCATCAAACTCTTCCCCTAACGGTCACCATCTCCTATTCTGCTAGTCATGGCTTCTTCACAACTGTTGCCCACAAGTTTCCACGCCCCCACTCTTCCACTGGAAATAATCGACCGGATAATCGACTTTGTCGCCGGATTGAAGGTCAAAAAACTGCGTGCCAATCTTGCCACTTGCTCCCTCGTCTGTCACGCATGGATCCGTCGCAGCAGATACCATTTCTTCCGGAATTGCCGTCTCCTTGTGCATTTGAACAATACCCTCAATTTCGGAATACTTCTGCGCTCGCCTGCATGCACCATTCTCCCTCATCTCGAAACCCTCACACTACGCAACAACGGAGAATCGTTCTTCCATCGCATCCAAGACGCGCTAAAACTCCTCACAAATCTGCAGAGTCTGCGGCTCTGTGGATGGGCTTGGGATGTATACGGGACTCCTCCAGCATGCGAGTTCCTGTCGTGTCTCCCGAGTGTAGTGGACCTCGAGATTGACTGCCAAATTTTGGGAGACTTCGATAACACGGTGCAGACATTTTGTGCGCTTCCATCTATGAAGCGCCTTGCAGTTCGAAGAGTTCGTAAACCCAAGATGGTTTGCACCTGGCGTTGTACTCCGCCCAGAGCATTCGTCCCCCGTGTCCCCCTCCTCTCCACTCCCCCACAATTATCGTCTCTCCTCCTCGACACACGCGCAATTATACCCATTGTTCATTGGTTGAACGGAGCAGGCCCGCATCACCTCACAACGCTAGAGATATCTCTACCTCCCATCGACGACACAGAAGATCTCCTCCCTCTTCAACAGTTCGTTCAGGGTCTCAGCCCGTCCCTCGAACACTTCACCCTCAGTGCCTCGGCCGAAGATAAGACGCTTAGCCAAGGTACTCTTCCTTTTCTATTCCATGCCACCCATGTTGACAGAATCTATAGCCGACTTCGAACGCACCTTCGACCTCAGCGCAATCAAGAACCTCCGCACTTGCCGCTTCAACAAGCTCTTCCCCGAGCTCTTCCCCCGTCCGCTCGAGTGCGCACTTTCCTCAATCGTCCGCTCCCTCGCCTCCTCCTCGCTCGAAACCCTCACTTTCGAACTCGAGGGCTCGTGCAGCGAGACCCTTCCGTGCATACCCTGGGATGCGCTCGACAAATTCCTCTCGGAGAAGAACTGTTTGAAGTCCGTGGTATTCGAATGCCCGCCCAACAACAACAAGGGAAGTGCTTTCCCGAGAGCTACTCGATCCCTGTCGGCCATCGCCATCTTGAAGGCGTTTCCGCGAGTAGAGGCGATGGGCATCTTGCACACGCGCGGGAACAGTTGAGACGGTGGGAATAGTATCAACGCTTCTGTGATTTATTAAGAATGCTTTATTTTCTTTCTGGATTTCCGGCTACGTTTTTTCCTTATAATACGTTTACAAGACTGCTTCTTCTTCGTACCAATCATCTCTTTTCGGCGTTCTTCTACCCTGCATCTGACTGGCACCCACATATGACATGTCAACCTCAAATAAACAAACTCTTCTCCCTTCAACCCTTGCTTATGTGCAATTCTACCAGTACTCCACCCCTACAAGCGTCTCTTCTAGCAACGTGAGCCCCATCGGAGAGCGGTCCAGCCAACGGCCTTGAATTTTTATTTTTTGACATTCTGAAATCTGGCCTTGAAACTGGCGACGTTACCATGACGTCCGTTCAATGTTGCGAAAATGGTGCCACAGAATTGTTCTTTCCTGAATACAAGCTTTTGAACCTGTCCCTTGTTCAATCAAATTGTTTGTCGAAGTTCAAATTGTCACCGCGTCATCAATGAAAGTTCAACAATTATCCGTCTATCAAGTGCGAGGCTCTGGACACGCTTGCTACAGATATTCTCGAGTTATAGATCAGCGAAAATCTGTCTTGGAGCAATAATAAAATACAGTTAGGATGCATATTCTGAAAACAGATTTAATCGATACAGTTCTGGTCTCCGACGTCAATAATATTCCTTCCAAACCCTGTGCCAAACAAAATTGGTTGGCAATACTCGTTTCGTGGCCCGTACTAAGTCTTGTATATTCGGATCAGCCTCTCCGCTGCGATTGTCGTCCGGCAGAGCGGGCATTGACGCGAGCTCTCCATCACCAAGTCGGAGCATCCTCTGCACATCGCCAAATGACTGGGGGAAAAGGACAAAGTCAGAGATAATCGATACCAAATTTAAAGATGATGGAGAACGAGAGCAAAATCGACAAGCTTACCCGCAGTCGACGACGGCCATGATGGCTTCCTCGTCCTGGCATATCACGCAGAGACCCGTGCGCTCAAGATCAAAAGTCTGCTGCGCAACCCTCGCTTCCCGCTCGCCCGGCTCTCTGTCGATGATAACGGCGTCTTCTTCGTCTTCTAGTTCACTGAACATGAGGTGCAGACCCGTATGAACGGTCCGTTGCGGCGGTGGTGTGTGTGGTGGGCGTGGAGGTGGGATGGTGCGGCGCCGCGGGGACACGTTAGCCTCAGGACGCGGAGGCACGACGGTACGGCGTGGGCGGGGGGACACAGTAGCCTCAGGGCGCGGAGGTACGACGGTACGGCGTGGGCGCGGGGGCACGCTAGCTTGAGGACGCGGAGGTGGAATGCCATGGCCGCGAGCCCGAGGCGAGACCGCATGGCCGGTATCATGAGGACGTGGGGGTGAAAGAGCCTGAGCACGCCGGATAGGCCGCGGAGGTGTAATGTCATCGTCGATAGGCTGAGAATGCTGAAGTCGAAAGCGGACGTGACGGCGGCGCGGGGGCAGTGGGAGATCAGAGTGTGGCGGAGGGTCAGCCTGCGTTGAAAGCGCCGCTAACCACTCAGCAAGTCTGGCGGGATCGATATCGTCGCTTCCAGTAGCCGGAGGACGCGGAGGTCTGACGCCACGCCGGAGGAGTGCACTAGTCTGAGGGCGCGGTAGGACGGTAGTACGGCGTGGAGGCGTGCTCGTTATTTCAAGCAGGTCTTGAGGAGGGGATGGAGACACGCGACGATGACGTGAAAATAATCGGTCCATCCGTAGTTCCAAGTTCAAGTTCAACAGGCTAGGAGACGAGGTATACCAGCGATATCGGTGTCGATCCAGGAACGAGGAAGCCTCACGGCAAAAGCCGGTCCGTGCAGAAGCTGTAGTATTGCCGCATTGAGAAGAATCGCCCCTATCTCCCTGGTCAAGTCCTTCATCGTTGCGGCGCGGACTAAATAAATAAGATAGTCGGTAAGAAAGCAGAGAAAGAAAGACAGGATGCAACTATAACGCAACAACCACAGTGTGGCTGTGCAAACACTTCCAATCACTTCTCTCCTCCTCCCAAAACAATGACCGGGGAGAATCAGTGTTCCTCCAACAGCAGAAAGCCTCAAGTGCCGGCCAGCCTGCAAGACGCCCTGTTCGATCAACAACGGGACGGATGTGCCGATCATTCGCTGGTTGGTGCATGGTTGAGTTTTTATCAATTACGGACACCCTTGGAAGACTCTGCCTCTAAAACAGCTGAAGGCTTGCTTTCTTGACGCCAAGTGCTATTGTACCTACTTCACTTTCGCAGTCCGGTTCATAAACTCTTTCAACTTGAACGATCCCCCCTGAAAATGCTTATATGCCCCCAATGCGACTGCGCTTCTCGGAATATGCTCCTGATACGATGCAAACGCTGAGATAGAGTGAGTGTCGCCGCTCGCTCACTCTATCGATACCGAAATTAGCCCTGTCGCTTGTGCATAGCCGAAGTGTCCGGCCACGGCTTGTGACACGACGTTTGCGCATTCTGAATTGATTTCCAACATCGAGTTAATTTCTTTCCCCTTCTCGTCATTCGAAGCAGGCGGCATCATTGCGTTACTTGGTTCTGTTCTATTCTCGGCCCCTTCTTGGCATGCTCCCCCAGTCAAAAGCTTCAGTTCTCGGAAATGGGCCGATATTCCAAAAGCTCTTTCCGGCATAGAAAACCTGCAGCTCATTTGCAACTTGCCATACACTGGAATGAAATAAAACCCGCGTTCTGATTCCTTACATTCTTTTCAACACATTTTTACCGTGCATCCGCCATTTGCCATGCTAATGCACGTGTCTCAGGCTGTGTTCAAATTTGAACCACGGGCGTCGCCTCGCATACCGAGTGCATAAAATGAATATAATAGGTCACCAGAAGCAAAGCAGAAGCAAAAGCAAAAGCAAGAAAAAGACATCTTGCAGATCACAAACTTATGCCTCTGGTGGGATTCGAACCCACGCTACCTCTTCCAGACAGTGACACATACAGTATGCATTCGAGGCGATCTACCGCTGATCTACGGAGACATACGAGGATGCCAAAAGTTTGAGCGGACCTTGAACCGCGGGCGTCGTGGCGCATGGATTAAATAAATATAACAGGCCACCAGAAGAGGCAAGAAAAAAACATGACACTCAAAGTTACGCCTCCGGCGGGATTCGAACCCACGCTACCTCTTTATAAGCTCGAAACAATGTATATGCATTCAAGATGATCTACCACTGATCTGCGGAGGCGTGTTAAAAAGCTGGAACTTCAGTAATATCCTATAGCTAGACCGTGGCCCGAGAAAGATCGAGGTTGCAGTTCGAAACGAGATGCGAAATTAAAGGTGAGTCTAAGCTGGCTGTGGTTTTGTGAATTCGGAGACCTAAATAAAGTAAGTTCGTAAGGGGAAAAAAGGGAAACAAAAAGTCCACTGATACCACGGGACGCCTCCGGTGGGAGTCGAACCCACACTACCTCTCTTGCGAGGTTTCAGAAACGACGCAGACACTTCAGATGCGATATATAGCGCTGATCCACGGAGGCATATATCACGCAAAGTCGAACTTCGCTAAGCGGTATCGTGTTGGCCTAAGACCTTGCTGATAGTCCTTGTCAAAGATCGAAGCAGAATTGGTTTTGTACGAAAGCATACGAGGATGCCAAAAATTGAGCTGACGTTTCTCAAGTTGAGGGTGCACACGTCGTACTGTAAATCAGACACAAAAAAATTGGTCAGGAACAGGACGAAAAAACAAAAGACCACCTCAACGGTATGCCCCCGGTGGGATTCGAACCCACGTCACTCTTCTACGGAAGGTCAGCGCTCAGCAGTCACACATTGTTGGAGGGATTGACTACCAATCCACGGAGGCTTCCACATAGTAAACGAGACCTGGGATAATACAGATAGAAAGGGCAGTGTTTAGACGGCAAGGAGCCTTCGCCAAGGAGCGGAACTCGGCGCTGGGTATGTAGGAACTGTGCAAGTTTATGTTTAACGTGCAAATTTCGTAGATCACTCCACAATCTGAATGATCGACGGGTCGGTCTCCACGTCCGCCTCCATGTCCACGGGCAGCCCCGCTTTCTGCCACGCACGATAGCCGCCGACAATATCGGTCGCGTTCAGCAGACCGAGGTCCAACAGCGCCTCGGCCGCAAGACTGCTCGCCGCGCCGTCCTCGCAGAACACAATGACCCTGAGATCATACCGGTCGACGATGAGCAGCCGCTCCTCGCTCCGCGGATCGAACCGCCACTCGAGCACATTCCGCTCGATGATGAGTGACCCAGCGATACCGCCGGACCGTGCGCGCTCAGCCTCACTGCGGATGTCGACGAGGAAGGTCGGCGCGCCGACGGCGGGCGCGAGAAGCTCCGAGTGAGCCTGCGCGGGGGTGAGCCGCTGGAGGCGCGCGCGGGCGCCGGCGAGGGCCTGATCGGCCCCGCGGCTGCCTGGCGGGGGGATAAGCGGGTCCATCGGGGCACGCGCGCACTTGCGCAGCGCATCCCAGAGGGCAGCCTCGTCGGCGGAGGCGGGGGCAGGGGAGAGGTTGCGGACGACCGCGACCCAGATTGGCCCGTCGTTGTGGGCGCCCTGGATGCGGCCGAGGAACTTGGAGGACGCGAGGAGGACGGCGCGCTGGACGTATGTCTCGGGCGCGCCGCAGATGAGGAGCGTGTTGGACTTGGAGTCGGGGCGCGTCGATGGTCCCGTGGTCGCGATTGCAAAGACCTGAAACAAATTTAACGATGAAAATTGGAACCGGGAGCGTACATACGTGGTCCTGCAGTTGCAGCTGATGTTGGAGGACGCCTGCGACGCGCCGCAAGAACTCTTCGTCGTCGTTCTTGGAGAGGGTGAGCATAACGCCAACCCGGGCTCCATCTACAGTTTCGCTCTTGGTAATGGTCCTCACGGCGACCTCGTTTGCGACCTGGTCGCGGACATCGTCAAGAGTGCGTTGAGGAAGAGTCGAGGACTGAGCCGACTTTTCAGGCACGGTGGACTTGCGCGATGTGGCCGATGAGCGAGCAGACTGAGAAGCGCGCGACATGGTTGGGTGGCTGTGCTCATTTTAAATCCCGCTTCAAGTTCCGCTCTCTTCTTCTTTCCAACGTCCTTGATGATTCTAAGTCTTGAATGATTCAGCCCCTTGGCAGACCACAGTCTCGACCTGTCTCGACCTTTTACCATGAAGAGCAAAGCAAAAGGCTGAATCCGCCCAGGAACAGAGTCCACGCCACAACGACGCCAAGTTGGTTTTACAAGCTCCAAGGCTGTGCTAGGTGTCAAAAAGCACCTAGTACGCCGATACTTGAAACTGCCCTGACTCCGGCTACTGGTGTTGCGAGCCGCATATAGCCAGCTTTTTATATGGGCGCCCAATTAAAGACGACAATATCCACGATATCGATGGCCGCGAACGCCGATCTACGCCGCTGGCGCCAATGACACGGTAGCCGTACTCCCCACAACGTATAAAAAGCGCCGCCGGCGCATCATCATCCTCATTCCTCTTCGCCTGGCTGGTCCCCTTCTTTCTTGTTCACTCTTTCTTTTCTTTGGACCCGCCGCCGCTTTTTTGGTTGACCCACTTTATATTAATTACATTAATCGCCGCCCGCAATGCAGATTCCCTTCTCTGTCCTATTTGCGCTCGTCCTCTCCCTCGACACGTTCGCGGCCCCGCTGCCCAATGCCAATGCTAATGATAATTTCGTGCGTCCTGTTAAATAACTCGACAAGCTTCAGATACTGACGGACGACCCTCGATTTTGCAGGCGCTAGAGGCGCGGGCGAAGGTCGTTGCGAAGAAACCGGCGGCGAAGCCTGCTGCAGTGAAGGCGCCAGTCAAAGCAAAGCCTGCTGTTGTTAAAGCGCCAGTGGCGGCAAAGCCCGCCGTTGTTCCGGCGAAACCACCAGTCAAGGCCGCCGTTCCTGCAAAACCGCCAGTTAAAGCACCCGTTCCCGCGAAAGCACCAGTCAAGGCCGCCGTTCCTGCAAAACCGCCAGTTAAGGCCGCCGTTCCCGCGAAAGCACCAGTCAAAGCGAACCCCGTCGCTGCAAAGCCCCCGACCGTTCCCGCCAAAGTACCTGTCACTGCAAAACCCCCGACAAAGGTCGGCAACGGAGCGCCCGCCGCCGTAAAGCCCGCCAACGGCGCGCCCGCCGCCGCAAAGCCCGCCGCGTCCGCCAAGCCTTCCAAACTGCCCAAGTGCACCGCCGCACAGGTCGAGGCGCGCGAACTCGAGGAGCGCATCTTCGGCTCTATCACGCACCCTGATGCCGCAGGCACTATCACACTGTTCCACGGAACGACTGCAGCGAACGCAGCGGCGCTTGCTGCTGGCGCCGTCAATCTCGCCTTAACCAGGGGCACTGGAGATTTCAACCACCGTCCTGGTACGCGAACCGCGCTAGCTCTTTTTTTATAACTTGAAGCTAACGCAATATTCAGAGGTACCCGGTGGCTTTTATCTTACCGACAGTCTCATCGCCGCGGCGCAATTCGCGTGCTTTGGAATCTCTGGACAGAGGCCCGTTTCCACGGACGTCGTGGGTGAGCTTGTGACACACCTATCTTCGTTGCCCCAATTCTGATATTTTTGTTTACAGAGTACAGATGGACTGGCGCAGGGCAGCAGACTTTCACTTTCCCCGGGGAGACCGCTGACTGGCTCGCAGTGAGTTGTCGACGATAATGGTGTGCTTGAGCGCCCGGCGCTGATTGCATTACTTCTTCTCAGTTCCAACAATTCAATGGCAACCCGAATCAAGTCGCCGTAACCACCGCTCCATTCTCAGCCAGGGCGGCGCAGCTCTTCCAGAACTCCATGATTGCCGGGTGTGTTTCCCCCCTACTTCGTCGGACCATCCAGAATGCAACACTGACTTTGGATTCATTGTTGTCTTATAGACCACTGAACGGGCCTGCCGGTAAGTCTCTGCACAGTTTCCTTCACTTCTAACTAATGAATATATTTCTCCTACCCAGACTTCCTCCTGACCGACGACTTCCAGCAATACGCCGTGATCAGCCAGGCCGCCGCGACGAACAACCTGCAGTTCCGCGCGCGTCACCAGAACATCCTGTGCCGGAACGTCCCGACGGGCAACGAGCTTACGGCGCGGCTGTACCAGCAGGGGCAGGCGGGAATGCCAAGTTCAACACGCGCTTGGCGAAGCTGCAGGACCCGAACTTCCAGCCTGGAGGAGGGAGCTGTGTCATTCAGTAACTACCGGCACTTGCGTACTCTCATGACGGTACTTATTGGTTAATTTACTATATAACGACGCGGCGATTGCGTACGGTAATTCTTTTAATATGTAGGCGCGGTTGTACTTATTGGATCCAATTGTGAAAACGAGAGTTTTGAACAAGCATGAAACAAGCTAGCAAAGAATTACTAGTGGGTCCGAAATTCTTACCAACGAACTGTGGGAAGTGGGAACTATCACAGATGTGATGTTCATTTTTTGTGGGATAAGACTCCGGATTCAACTTGAATTCCAACATCGCACTGCTTGTGTTCCTCGCCAATTTGGCGAAACATGTTCCGTAGGGACACAGTCGGCCAGGTTGCAAAATTTGTGTTCAAAATATTTGCCATTTTCATCAGTGAGTTTATCGTGCTGCTATTTAGATGCCCGAGATCTACAGTGATGAGCCCCAGCAAGCCCTAAGCAAGAAACCACTCACCTGCGCTGGACAACACGAAGGAAAGAGCTACAACTTGGTATGTTCCGAAAGGGACCGCGCCAAGATAATATATATATTATCCTGAGTCTTATCCTGGTATTGCGTCTCCGCAAATACAAAGGCGTCTGATCATTGATTAGACGCGTCCAATACAGTCTCAGGTGACACTGGTGGCATTAGATTCAATTCAGCCAAATCCGGGACGGAAAGTCACTGAATTGGATGAATTGGCAATGTGTTTAACGTGACTCGAGAAAGTGTAGTCGGTTCAATAACCAAGTGGCCCAAAAAACCAGGTCGGTTCAACCACCGACACGTCAAAAAATGTAAGGTTGGTTCAATAGCTCAAAAGTATGGTTGTTTCAATAACCACGCTGGTTGCAAAGGGAGGTTCCTTCAATAATGTGACATTTGAAAAAGTAAGGTCAGTTCAACAACTCGACCTCCAAAAACCGAGTTGTTTCAACAGCATGACTGAGTTAGTTACACAGTTGAAAATGTTGGGCGGGTCAGTAAGTCACAACTGGCGTCGGCAAAGTGCGGTTGTATCAAATTGAGGTTCAATAACTAGACGAAGGCTGGCAGCGGCCAAAAGTGGAGGAAGATCGGCCTTCAAGATCCGTAGCAAAAAGACAGGTTGGATCCGGAAAGGTGGTTTTAGTCTGTATCAATAACCAATCACCGTAAAAGACATTTTTTTTTTCGGCCAATTTGACGTGTGACGGAAGAAAATCCAGACACGTGACCGCGAGTGAAGATTTCCCACGCTTCGGTCTTTGTCCTTCTTTTAGATCTGCTTGTCTACGTCGTTGTCTGGATTTGTGAAAAACTCACTCGACC